TGTACCCCCATAATATGCTGAAATTAAAAAAAAATCTATATTAAATGAAAAGTATTTTGTAGTTATTTACTTTGCTAGAAGAAAATATTTTAAAATTTTAGCTATTTAGAGTCTGAGAATTTTTGCTTTCTCATGGGTTATATTTCTGCAGAAGGCCGCACTGATTCCTACAGTGAAGAATCTGATTCAGATTTATCCGATGTGCCCGAATTGGACTCTGATATTGAGCAAGAAACTCAGATCAATTATGATCGCCAGGTCAGTAAGAGGGGAGCAACAAAAATTCATAACCCAGAAACTGGAACTCATTGGATTTGGACATTGTACTAAATATGGCTGGCGCTTAGGCAAAAGAGAATTAAGGCAAAAATAGGGAAATTCGCCTACTTCTCCCCTTTAAATGCGGGTTAAAACTAACCAATCACATCATTAAAAATTTTTTAAGTGGAAGGTGGTTGCAAAGTTTCAAAACTGAATGCCTGACATTTGGGCTTTTTGCCTCCCTAGCACCTAAAACTTCTAAATATTTGTTTTTGGAAGAAAAATGTGCAAGTAAGTTACAGGGTTTTTTTTTTTTCCCTGTGTGTGTGTGTTCTTAGCATATCATGGAACCATGTGTTTTCTTTACTGGATGGATACCCTCAGGGCATGATAGTTTGCATGTGAGCTATTATCCTGGTTTATCTATTAACATACTACAGCCAGTTAATTCATTTAATTAATTATCCATTTAAAGGGAAATCCCAAATCACGCATTACCTCTCCAGTCAGAAATCACCTCTAGTAGAAAAGTTGGTCAGTTACATCCAAATTTTTTTGGAAGTTGATTCATTTTAGCATTACACAGTGAGTGTTAAAGCGATCAATCCTTCAGAGGAATCTGGAGACACACTGCATTGTTTTGTGATAACCACAGGGGTTCTCCTTTCTTCCTCATCATTTAACAAAGGTATGTAAAGCAGATTCTGTACATGAACATGGAATGAATAAGACTCATACTTCAGATACAGCAACTGTCAGTGTTGCCCATGGAGACTTAGTGTATAGGCCTATGGCCACTACCATGTATCAAATGTCTCTATGGGCTAGAAAAGATCCTGGGCTTTACACCCATCAAATCCAACCCCACAATAACCCTGAAAAGTGAAGCGACTCACCCACGTCCACTTCACCTGTAGTGTTAGGATAAGAATGCCAATTTGGGCTTCTTTCCAAAGTGCATATTGTATGTACTGCTTGGTTTGCCTCCATATAAGCACTGAATTTACTGCTTTTCAGATGATTATGTTTTTTTCAGCCCATAATCATCACTCATGGATTCAGTGTTTGAAAAATTAGATCAGTACAAAGGCAGTCAAACTGATGGTTTGGGTCAACTTCATGACTAAGTCAGCTTGACTGTGTATTGATAAATTGTATTATGCAGTACAACTCTGAAAGAAAATAATTGGAAAGAATTACTGATGTGGAAATATGCAAACACAAAACAATATTATTGTCTGATATCGGGGAAATAAAATTTAATGATGTAAAAGGAGGAAAATGTTCTTTAGTTGGGAATTTTTTAATAAAATGCTAGTAAAAGAATAAAAAGGTATAACTATTGAAATTCATGCCTAGAACTCATACAGGTTGAGTATCTGTAATCTGAAATGCTCCAAGATTTGAAACTTACTCAGCACAGAAGTGACACTCAAAGGAAAATTGGAGCATTTCAGATGTTGGATTTTCAAATTTGGGGTACTCAACTGGTAAATATAATGCAAGTATTCTAAAATCTGAAAAAATCCAAAATTCCAAATACTTCTGATCCCATCCCAAGCATTTTAGATAAGAGCTACTCAACTTGTATATTTTCCATGACATCTGACTTTCCAATGCTCTTATCTATATAATTTTTTTTTTTTACTTATGCTCACAATATTCCTGAGTTATTCCTAAAGAGGAATAACTTTTTACTACATTTACAGTTTTTAATCCATTTTACGGGTAAGAATTTGAGGTCCACAGAGGTTATAAGACTTGTTCAAATAAGCGGTAGAAATACTAAGACTGGAACTCAGTGCTCTAAAGCTGTGGTCTCCAACCCCTGGGCAACAGACCAGACTGGTACTAGTCTGTGACCTGTTAAGGACTGGGCTGCAGGGCTCTGCTGCTGCCTCCCCAGTAGCCCCCCACCCCCCAGCCATGGAAAAATTGTCTTCCATGAAACCAGTCCCTGGTGCGAAAAAGGTTGGGGACCACTGCTTAAGTAAATAATTGATAAGCTGATAAAAGCATCATGAATTCTGATCAATAATTATCTTAGATTTTAAAAGCTTAGTTCATTGTATCTGTAATAGTAATGATATATCTTCTGACTTTTTTTAAAAAATGATTTTTGATGAAATCCTAAAGAGGGACTTAATAATATTTCATGATGTTTTTAGCAATGCACCTTAATCAAAAACTTTCCTTAATGGAGATGAGAAATTATTAACAGATTGTATTTCATTTTCCATGTGTTAAACTGACATTTCTTGATAAAGCATAAATACATGGTAAACAACAGGTTGATTTTTATGTACACTTAAATTGTATAGTCAGCAGCACATTTTAGGTCCTAGGTTAGATTAAGAGTGAGTTTTGCTCTATATTTCAGGGTCTGATCTGTTAAGATGCATGAGCCCATGAAAGGAAGATAATTCCAAGGAGTGATTTTTCGGGAAAAAAATCACCATTACTCATGAGGCCCACATTTGCAAATGCTGGACTCAAGTGATTTCTTGCCTTAAATAGAACAAACATCTATATTAATAATTATTTACTAACAATATTATATTTTCTGGATATAAATTACCTAAGAAAACAACAAATCAAGAAAAAAACTATTTAAAATCCCAATCATTTAAAAAATATTTTATGTCTTGTTTATTAGGAGAAAGTAATATTCAATCCCGTGCCTTATTTTTTCAAAAATAAAAAATAGTTGAAGCAATTAAAGGTTATATAGTAATGCCAAGATGCTAATGTTTTTGAAACCCGAAGGAAGGAATCTCAACTAAATGTTCGTGTTGTGCTTGAAGGTTTACAAAGAAGATCTACCTCAGCTAAAGCAACAAAGTAAAGAGAAAAACCACGCAGTGCCCTTCCTCAAACGAGAAAAGGCTCCCGAGGACAGCTTAAAACTCCAGTTCATACACGGGTAGGTGACCTGTCTTGGGGACCTCATGCATTTTCCTCTGTCTCTGCCTGGCTGTCACCAGGCTTCCCACCATGCTGAAGAGGTCCCCTCGTTTTGATGTTGCCCTGCTTCAGGCTGGCTCTACTTTCAATTTGCACTTGCACCTGCAGTTGTTTTAACCGTGATTCTTTGTCCAGTTTCACTGGTGGATGTTCTGTGGCCCTCACAACGCGATTGTCTCTAGATTTTTCAGACGTCGTGTAATTTCGTGCTGTAGATGCTGCTGCTGCACATTGCTAATCCCTTCTTTCTCATCACCATCCCCTCTTCCTCTAGTCCTCTAATGCCCTGTCCTATTTGCTATTGTCCTATTTTCTTGAAATATTTTCCTCAAATGTGCCCAAAATAATTTTGAATTTTGTAAAATCATATATACGCTTGCACATTTTAAGTTAACATCTGAAAGTTTTTGACATAAGTTTAAATAGTTGAGAAGAATATATCTGGTATATTATAAATGCATCAGTCATTCAGATGGATGTAAAGGAACCTAAGTGCCATAAATATTTGATTCCCACTATTATTAATTTTAAAAATACGTGAACAAGTCCTCTATAACAGGAGGACATTTTATATCATTCATATTTCTCCTTAAACTCATATTCCCATTCTAATTCTTCCCTAAAATTTTGCCCTATGTTTTTTTGCTTGAGACTCCTTTGTCACTGTATCATACCCTCTAAGAAAAAAAATTTTATTTCCTGTGACCCTAAGATTCTAACTCTGTCCAACACAGTATCCACTAGCCACACATGGCTACTGAGCACCTAAAATGTGGTTATTCTGAAATGAGGTGTGCTGCCTGTGTAAAATGCACACCGGTTTTAAAGACAGCATGAAAAAAATGTTAAATATTAAAATGTTTTTATACTGATTACGTGCTGACATAACATTTTAGATGTATGAGTTAAAAATATGAAATTATTGAAATTTTGTTTTTTTATTCTAATGTGACAACTAGAAAATTTTAAATGACTCGTGGCTTACATTATGTTTCTGTTAGACAATGCTGCTCTGTTAACAATTTTTTCAGATTGCAGTATTGTTATAATGATCAGCAGTAAAAAATTGACCAAATCAATATAAATGTATTACAAATTTTGATATACAATGGTTAAGCACAGAAAACTTTTATTGGAAATGATTTTAATAAAATGAGTTTTTTCAGTTCAGAAATCGGTGTACGTACTTAATTGCTAGAATGTGGCAGAGTTTAGTTTTGAGTCTATTCCCATTTTTCCATTTTTTTTTAAATAAGTGTAAGCACTGAGAAAGTTTATTCTCATAAATAAGCATGAATGGAAGCAATTTTATCATAGCAATATTATTTGGTTTTTAAAATCCTCCTGTATTATGAGGCCCCAAAAATCACATTTTGATAGTTATAGCACAAAAAAAATTTAGTGATGTATTAGCTGACAATTAAGTCTCTGTTCAATTTTGCTGAAAACAAAGAACTGTAAATCACTTGACTTCCAGAAAAATTCCTTAGCCAGTCATTAGAGTCGTTGACTTTCAGTATCCTCAGTTGTATTTTGAATTGTTCCTTTGTTTTGTTCCTGGAAGGTTATTTGCCTCAGGGTAATACACCATAGTAAGATTCCAGATGGACAAGAGAAATGACTTCCTAAAGTGGGAGGAAAGCATTTGTGAAAGGGGAGATGGGAAAGGAATCCCTGTACCTCCTCACAAATGTGTACTCAGATCAGTTTTAAGAAAGAACACACACAGTAGCTGAGGATCTGGAAACAGATTCTGTTACAATGCTCAGTGCCATGTGCCTCTTAGAAAGTCATGCCCATCCCGCAGAGGTCCTCATACCCACACTTGAGCATGGCTGTCCTGCGTGACTATGGAGACACCTGCGGTTCCACTTGTACCCGTTCACATCAGCGTGTTAGTGTGCCTCTGATGGTTCCCGCTTTATTCAGTAGCAATTTATTCAACCACTGTGCCTTTCTTGGACCTGTGCTTCAGTTACAGAGGCTACGACTGTAGAAACAACCTGTTCTACACACAAACTGGAGAAGTGGTCTACCACATTGCTGCAGTTGCTGTAGTGTACAACCGGCAGCAACACTCCCAGAGGCTGTACCTGGGGCATGACGATGACATCCTCAGCCTGACCATCCATCCAGTGAAGGACTACGTGGCCACTGGGCAGGTATAGGTCTCTCCTCTAAGACTGGGCCTAGCCAAAGAAAGGATTTAATTCTGAATTCCAGTGTACATATTAGAAATTTGAAAACTACTTGGCAGAACTAAACACGAGGCAAGAAGCTGAAGATTCAGTGAACACTGGATCATTCTTTCATGGTGGGAAAATGGACCTATGCATTCTGGCAATGCTAGGAGAGGGATTCTCTTCCTGAGTGATGAGATCTATGAATAAGACTAGCTAAAACTAAAATAGTGAAAGTTTTATGAAGGAACAGCTTCATATATTTCTTCATCACTATGTATAGGACATCCTAACCATTGAATAAATATTTATTGAATAAACTTTTTTTTTTTTTTTTGAGACAGAGTCTTGCTCTGTCACCCCAGCTAGGGTGCTGTGGTATCAGCTAGCTCACAGCAACCTCAAACTCCTGGGCTCAAGTGATCCTCCTGCTTAAGCCTCCCAAGTAGCTGGGACAACAGGCGTGTGCCACCACACCCGGCTAATTTTTTCTATTTTTAGTAGAGACAGGGTCTTACTCTTGCTCAGGCTGGTCTCGAACTCCTGACCTCAAGGGATCCTCCTGCCTTGGTCTCCCAGAGTGGTAGGATTATAGGTGTGAGACCTGAATGAACCATTTTTTCAAATACTAGTATAACATCTGGAGTATAGTTATTTTTAAAACTTAAAACCATAAGAATTTTGACTAATTTATTATTTTATATTTAGCCTTATAAAAACTTGAATTTTATCTGAACTGTTCTTGAAATGCCTAAACTTTGGATTGAGTCTATAATTGGAAAGCTAATGAAAACAGAGGCCCTCTATTCGGCTGTTGTGGGGTGGAGAGAGGAGAGTAATAAAGTAGATTTAATATACAAAGAATCTGTCAAACTCAGATGTATCATCTTGCTGGTAAAACAGTAATATTGTCGAAAGTATTTTTCGTTTTATATTCTTCAAATGTGTAGATTATATTTTCAGTTTTATCATGAGCTTTTAATTGCAGATAGTACTCCAACTCATGTTCAATATCTAAGTGGCAAATTCCGAGGAAAATACCTTGGTATACTGTCAAAGGTTAACATGAGACAACTCAACCCTATTTCTGGGACTTGACATACAGGTCATTGAAGCCTTTGAACAGGGTTCATAATCTGGGTTCATGAGATCCGTGAATTAAAATAAGAACATGAAAGGAGTCATCCTCAGAAGTCTTTTTAGGGAAAAGAATCCATAGCTTTTATACTATTATTGGTATAAAAGGGTTACAATCCCCCACAGGGTAAGAGCCATTGGTTTATATACTAATTTGCTGACCCTCCACCTGAAAATTAGAGACCTAGTCTGTGTTAGCTGACATTAAGTTTTACAAGTAATTGATCATTGCTTTGCCTTTCCATGTGACCTTTGTTTTTTTGGTCTGTCTTATAAACAAATGATGTTTGATTCATGAGTATTTAATAACCTTTTTTTTGAAAGTAAAAACCAGAGATTGATGCTTTATGTACACTTCTAGGAGATACTGCCCTTAATACTGTATGTGACGGGGGGCAGGCAGTGTGCCAGCAACCACTCCAGGGGTGGGTGAACTGGGTTTCCACAGACCTGTGTAGAAGTTTCCAGGGTTCTGCTCAGTTAAGCCCATGGCTTTTCCCATTTTCCCTTTTAGAGTCATCATGCCCAACAGGGTTTTTTCCCCTCTGTACTATATAATAAGTGAGGAAAACCACTTTACTATTATAATTTTCTCTGTTGGAATTGGTATGATAGAAGCTTGTTATCTGCCTTAGTGAGAGACAGTTACAACATGAAACTGTCTTTCCCGAGGAGATAGGCGGGGTCAGGCCTTCTTGAGGTGGGTGAGATAATTGAGAATGGGTAAAAGAACTCTGTGGATGGTGTCATGACAACATGCAGGTAACTCCCTTGACTGAGAAGTGGAGTCTTGCGTGGGACTGAGAAGGCAGGAGAGGGAAAAGTAGAATTAACTGACAAAAAAAAAAAAAAAAAAAGCATAGTGGGCATTTGAATTAGTCTTTAAAAGTCCCTTAACTGGGAGGCATGCTACAAGTCAGGCTGTGCTGGAACCCATCCTGATTGCCAAGACAAGCCTCTCAGATGCTTTGTGCCTCAGTTTACTCATCTGGAAAATAACTGAGTTGGACCAGATGATCTCCAAGGGTCTTCCCACTCTCCAAATAATGTATGTTTCTTGATTTCTGACTGTAAGGAACAAAATCATTCTTACTATAATTTGTAAGTAGTTAATAACAGTCATCCTGTTGTTTAAGGTTGGAAGAGATGCTGCTATTCATGTGTGGGACACACAAACTCTAAAATGTTTATCACTGTTGAAAGGACAGCATCAGAGAGGAGTGTGTGCTCTCGATTTTTCAGGTAAGCCCCAGTTTTCCACTGCAGTTGTTGACAGATGGTTCTACATTCAGTGTTTCTTTAAAAATATCCTCCCACTTAGTTGAGTTCCATTTGTAATGAGGCGTAAGCTCATTGTGTGTCAGCCACCCAGTCTCAAACTGGAAGTCATACATGTGACTATCTCACCACAGAATGTAGCCTTTAGATTACACACCCTTTCCTGTCTTCCATGTTTCCTCTCCCAAGTCATTACGCAGAGCTCACACTATGTTCTGTATTTGCTTGAGCGATTTGAAATCCAGAGCAGCTGTTGGTACTGAAAGACTTAGTTGGGAATGTCTGGCTGTGACTCACAACATCAGTTTCATCTCGCCAGATAAGTGGGAGCACATCACTTCTGATGCGAAATATAAAGAACTCAAGGGAAGGCTGCAAATTCTCTGCAAAGGGCTACTTTCCAATATTGGTGTTTTGGAAATACATTTCATATTGAAAAAATAGAACTGAAGCTTTCATTTCCATAATTTAAAATTTGAACATGGTACTATAAAAATACTAACTGATGGGTATAAATTTCCTGTAGAGTAAGTTTTCTTTAAGCTAGAATTTGAGAATGAAGGCCTATCCCAAAAGGTATTTTTACCTAGAAATTTTTAATAATTTCATTTATAGAAATTAAATCAGTAGGAAAAAAATCCTAAACTTTGTACAGAAAACTGATTCTGTAATTTCCCTTTTCTAAATTCCATTCAAGTATTAATAAGTACAATATGTGAGGCCGGGCGCGGTGGCTCACGCCTGTAATCCTAGCTCTTTGGGAGGCCGAGGCGGGCGGATTGTTTGAGCTCAGGAGTTCGAGACCAGCCTGAGCAAGAGCAAGACCCCCGTCTCTACTAAAAATAGAAAGAAATTAATCGGACAACTAAAAATATATAGAAAAATTAGCTGGGCATGGTGGCACATGCCTGTAGTCCTAGCTACTCGAAAGGCTGAGGCAGTAGGATTGCTTAAGCCCAGGAGTTTGAGGTTGCTGTGAGCTAGGCTGACGCCACGGCACTCACTCTAGCCAGGGCAACAGAGTGAGACTCTGTCTCAAAAAAAAAAAAAAAGTACAATATGTGTAATATTAGTCATTAAATTCCATAACTCCAAACACCAATCTCTTCATATGTCCCTCCCTCTCCTTGTTCAAGCCCTCATTCCCTCTCAGCTGTGCCATGGTACTAATGCTGGTCTCTGATTGCATCCCCACTTCCTCAGTTCATCCTACCCACTTCTGGAGTATTCTGGAAGCCTAGTTACTGTTGATACCGCATAGACTCCCCTTGGTTGGCTGACTCAGGTTGAGCCCTTGGTTGTACATTTGTGGCCTTCCATGATCTGGCCTCAACCTTCCTTTGTGGTGTTTTCACCCAACCGACCCATTAGTGCTCCTTTACATCTCCCTAACAGAAGAGGCTGTGTGCACTCATGTCCTCCTTTTGCCTGTGGTCTTTGCTCGTGCTGTTCCCATGTGTCCAAGTCCTACCATCCTCTAAGGCCAAGCTGGAAGTTTTCTCCTCCATCCTTCCAGGGAGAAGTAACCCGTCCCTTCTTCTGCATGCCTTAGCCCACTGTTGTGTTGCTCTCATGGCACCTGTCAGGGTCTATGTGGTGCTGTGGTTATTTGTGGCATCATGTCCCATGCACTTCACGTACAGGAAACTACTTGGCAGCAGAGCCCATCTCTCTGTTCCCCACCACCCGTATCACAGTGCAATGAACATAGAAACTACTCAAAAAATGTTGTGACTGAACGAACAAATGGGGTTTTGCTTAATGCACTTCGTCTTGCCTTTCCCTATTACTACCAGAATTTTACATTGTGAAGCATGTTTCGGTAAAAATTACCTTTATCATCTGACCAATACAACATGGGGAAGTTTTTGTTTTTGTAACATGCTCATGCTCACATACTATACAAATTTGGGTTGTATCAGGATGAGAAGTTATTCAGTGCCTTCTGCAGTTATTAAATTAGTGAAAATCAAGTCTAAACAGTTCGTATTCTACACCAGTGGGCGTGAGAGGTAGGAGAAGGCGTGAGTGCTGAGGGGGAGAAGGCTCCTTGGCACACTACCTGCCAGCTCAGTGCTCTGATGACACACCAGAGACAGTGAATATGAAGCCCAAGTTTGAGGGACATGCAGTTTTAAAAGAGGTGTACCATGTGTCATTGATAAAGCAGTACAGTCTAAAAGGAAACTATAATTTGAGTTCAAAATTGTAAAGATGTGAATGAATTCCTTCCGCTTTTTCCCCCAGAATTCTACTCCTCAATGGCCAAACTGCCTTTTTCTTAAAATTAATTTTGCTAGTGGATACATATGTGCATACTTAATATAAATAATTACATTAATATGCTTTAGAAGAGTGGTAAGACACCCATTGAAGTAGCAAAAATAAAAATAATACCTAAATATTTACAACATAATGGGGAATCTGATATATTCATATTTTTGGTGGCATTGAAAATTGACTCAATAATTCAAACAAACAATCTGGCCAGGTATAATAAAGCTATAATTCAAAATTACAAGTGTGTAGACTATGTGTATTTTATACACGTTTCTGTGTACCAAGTTAACTAAAAGAGAAAAAATAGAGCTCAAAATAGCATCTGTCACTGATTTCAAGTGAGAATGTGAATGTGTATTAGCATATAAACAACGTGGCAGGAAATTTAGAGTAATATAAAAAGAATTTAATCATTAGATTATTTCCTCTATAGAATTGATTAATTTTCTGGTTTTTAAATCAAAATAATTAGCTTATGCTATTTAAATGCCTGTAGAGAAAGGGATTAGCAGATCAAAGACATGAATTATGAGACAAGTTGGTAGCAATAAACTGGTACCCAGTAACTTGGTCTCTGCGTTTCAGAGAGCTCACATCTCTTCTGAGCTGATTGGTTTCATAGAATAAAGAATAAGAAATTAAGTGAGCTTAGAAATCTTTTTCTCATAGGCAGCCCTTTAGATCTTTGCTGAAGTAGAAAAACCAGATACTCCAGAAGAGGTAGGAAAGCTGATTCTGTCACTGTTTCTAAGTCCCTTATTAGGCAAAGAAAGACGTTTCCAGATGTGAAGTATTTTCTGTATCAGAAGCTTATTTCAGCATTTTAACAATATAGTCTCCATTCCCCAGATAACAGTCACCAGGGAAGAGCCCATTTACTCAGCAAATGTGTTAGTTTTGGTTGTGGGAAAATTACTTTTTTGCCTTTTAGGTTAAGTACAATGTTAACATAGAATAGTAGAAAGGAATCTGTTTGAAAGCTTTAGAAAGCACTAGTAACAAGGACTATTCAAGAGAAACTTTCACTGACGTCTATTGTGTGTGACTCATCACCGTGAACGGTTACATGCAGATGAACTGTAATAGTTGATTGATATGTATGACCCCTTTGGTGACTCCTGAAGGTGTGAGCTATGGACTCTTTGGTTTAATTTCTGCTGATAGCACTTTGTGTTCTAATAATATAACTTTAGTCTTGAACCCCTGCACCACTTTGCAGGCCAAGAACAGAGATCAGAGAGTTTGGTGGTATGGCCTGGGAAAAGTCAACAGTGGCAGATCTAGGTCTCTTGGCTCTTAGTCCAACACAAGAGCCACTAGGCCAGGGTTGTCAGCTGGTGGGGGAGGTATGCCAGGAGTTCTCTGTTCCCCATCATCAGGTCTTCTCCTGCCCCTGCCCTCTGCTGGTGCTGGTGAACTTTTGGCCAGAGAGCCATACCTGGAGCACTCAGTGTGCTCACTCACCTCCTGCTGCCTGCGCCCACCAGCAGGTGTCTCCAGCTGCTCCCCGACCCTCCAGTATAAATGTGGAGTGCCTGGTGGTGCATAGGGGACACCATATGAACAGCCCCCGATGAAGAGAGGCCCCTGTTCTGGAACAGCCCAGAATCACACACTTATCTAAAGTAGGAGCAGGGGCAACTATACCTGTCTTGGAAACTGATAGAAAGTGAGTAGCTCTAGTGGAAATCTCAAGAGAGGAGACTACTTAGATATCCTTGTTTAACCATGTCAACAGGACATCAGTTACTACCTACCTGGTGGTCAGTCTTTGTGTCTCAGCACCCCGCAGCCACCCATCTTACGAGTCAGCTCATTTTGGGGGTGTCTGGAGACCTACTGGTACTTTGTCTCTTATTAGAGAAATAAATTGTCCTGGCAGTATAAAGCAGACAAATGATGTGAAAACTAGCCACCAAATAAGCAGTTATACATAGGGATTTAGACTATTCTTGCCGCTTTTCTAAAGCAAACAAAAAAATTTTAATTAAAAACATGTCTTACAACATGATTCAGAACTCTGGATTATGTGGACAAGAATGAATTTATATTATCTCACTTGATTGAGAAGTTCTTTTAACTCTGAATTTATTGTCACTGTCTAGGAGGGGAAGGGGTGCCATCTTTGGTTTTGTGCTCACAGTAAGGAAAGTGCTTCCACATGAATAGAAAACTAGATTAGAAAGAGAAAAGTTCAGCCACATAAATGTTTTCTAGCCTAAATATCATCTACATAATTTCTTAAAACCTTCATGGGCTGATTTTCCACAAGGGCACATCTAACACTAACTTGATTTCATTGTGTTTGATTTAGAAAACCTATGCATTTTTCACGAGCCCTGAATAGACGGAGCCAACTCATAATTGTCTGAATAAAAATTTTCTCTTTCTATTTTGTCCTTTACTGTTGACATTACCTTAGAATTATTTCTGGACTGTGTCATAAACATCCATAATTAATACATACTGTGACTAGAAATATTTGAAAGGACATTGCTTAGACTCTAAAAATATGTCTGAAAATCAAAAACTCCAACTAACTGGTCAGGGAACAATAGATTTTCAAAGCTAAGGTCAAGCCTCTACAGGGAAAAGAAAACTAGAAAAAAAGAATAAAAGGTAGCCAATTATATTTCCAAACTGTGTGGTATGCAGAAATAAGCTACGCCTGCAGAATTCGAGAAAAAGTCGCCATCACAAAGAAGAGGTATGGTTATTAAGGCACTTCTGGATTTGCAGTTTGTCTATTAGTGTCTATTGTGTCTATTAGTGTCTAATAGTGTGTCTATTGCTATTGCACAATCAGGATACTTTTTTTGGTGTAGAAAGATGATATAGCAGAATAAGCTGATGGCCCTCACAGAAATTCTACTAAAAAGAAGCCACCTCTCCCAGAAAATCAGCTTACCCTTAGGCCTCCTTGAGATGACATAAATTTAAAAAGCTATTATTTTAAATGCTTACATTCCAAGAAGGACATGTTAAGATAGCTACACAGACTTCAAAAGAAAACAAGAAATACAGAATTAATGAATGCAAAAAAAGACATTGAATATTTCTGCAGTGTTTTTGAAAGGAATAATAAAGCAATTACATTTTATAAAAATTGTTTATACTTGATACATAATTATACATGTTTATGGGATACACTGATGTTTCAGTACATGTATACATGGTATAATGATCAAATCAAAGTAGTTAGAATATTCATCACTTAAACACTTATCATTTCTTTGTATAACATTCAAGATCATCTTTTCTAGCTATCTTGAAATGTATTCCACATTATTATTAGTTATAGTCACCCCAATATGTAATAGAATATCAGAACTTATTCTTCCTATCTAACTTTGTATGTGTTGACCAACCTTTTCCTATTCCTTCCAAAATTTTTACAGCTATATAAAATGCAAATGCGGTACATTCCTTTTCCTTTTTATACTATCCACAGGCATATTCCATCTTTCTCTTCCTTCACATCCTCAATGTCACTAGTATCCTTAGCACTCATTGAAAACCAGCTCAGCGTACGTGAGGATCACAAAGGAGACGTGTTAAGATTACTATGAGCCTTAAAAGAGCTTATATCTAAAAAGGGAGAGAGAAAACACCAACAAAACTAAAATCACCAAATACAGAGGCGTGCTAGTAATAGAAACATAACCAGGCCATAATAGATATGGAAAGAGTACTATTGTTGGTGATGAATAGGACATCATTACCGGTCCCTTCTCTCAAATGCATAAAAAGAGACCTTGCCCAATTCAAAATCTGGTAACATTTAAGCATGAAGAGATATCATTAGTTGTGATTAGAAAGACATAATTTGTTTACAATAATCACTTGATAGTGATTTAGCCCTTTACGAAAGTGTTAATGTCTTCATCTAATACTATAGTCTGTTAGCTTATAAGGGCCCACGAACCTTTCAGATCCTTACCTCATACTTAGTAGTGGTTGAGGAGGATTTGGTTGGTTAAGCCAGATTCTTCCTTCCTTCTACTCTCCTTTCCGTAGAAGGAGCAGATCACCATATCCAGTTGGTTGGAGGAGGGTCTCTGGCACAAGTAAGGGCACTCAAATGGTGGGCATTGATTAGCAGTTGAGGTAGGATTGCCAGATTCAGCCAACAAAAATACAGGAGGCTCAACTAAAATTGGTTTTCAGATGAATAATTTTTTGACATAAGTTTCATGTAATATAAGTGTAAATATGTAGTATAAATATCACATACTGACATACTTATTATTAAGAAATTATTCATTACTTATCTGAAATTCCAATTTGACAAGGCTTGCTTTATTTTACCCAGAAACCCCAATTTGGGGTCTACCCAGGCCTACCTTTGAAAATACCAGTTGAGGCCCCGAGTGGACCCGTGGCCCTGGGAGAAGCAGTTTGCCAGACTTGTGTTGCTTTATCCTGGTGGCTGCTCCTCTGCAGTCAGAGAACGGACCCTGATGAACCATGTGAGATGAGCTTCATCACTCATCTCCTAGCAACCACACAGCCCGGGGCCTGCTGCTAACCTGGCCCTGCCTCTCCTTTGAATCTTGCCTTGCAAGGAGGCAGCAAAGGAAAGGCTTATTGACTGCACCTCTTCTTTTGTTTTGAAGGGATAAAGCAAATTAACTGTTTTTATTTTAAATTTAATTATACATTCCATATATTTTATTTGTGGGAAAATAAGCTAAATGTCCAAATTACAGTAATCATTGATAATTATTATTCTCTTATTGGAGAAATAAGTTGTCCTAGAAATGTAAAACAGGCAAATGATGTCAAAACTAGACAACAAACAAGCAGTTATACATAGGGCTTTAGACTAATCTATTCTCACCACTTTCCTAAATAGTATTGAATTATGAATAATAATACTAAAGGAAAATGCTCATAATATAATGAAGAAAGATTAGATGATAGGCTGCTCAGTATGAATCTGGTTTTTTTCTTTCAAAGCCCATTGATGTAGAGAAAAGATCGGTGGGATATATATCAAATATAGGGCTAAAAATGTGGAAGATCTAAATTTTTATCCATATTTTCTAAATGTCCTATAACAGGCATATTCCATTTGAAATAGGGAAAATAAGAAATTAAGCTGTTTGAATTCTAAAATCATCTTTTGAAAGATCTTTTGAAGTTAAATTTAGTTTTCATAATGTTCTTATTTTCAAGGGTTAAACTGAACCCCAGTTTTAGAGCTGAAAATAGACTCATTGTCACAAAGCCAAATGGCTCTTCCAATAAGTGTCATGAGATTTGTCACAAAATAGACAAGGTTTTTGTAACAAACCTAAGAGGTTCCCTCATAGCCCTGTGTCTCAGATTAGAATGTTGGGTCAGCGATTCACTTGAGAGACTGATTATTGTACATTAGGAAGCTCAGCTGTTGCCAGTCATGCATTTCATTTTGTGAGATCCACTTAGTATATGAAATTTCTAGTGTATTTGAGCCTAAAGAATATTCTTGAGGTCAGTTTCTTATTCCTTTTTACAGCATATGAAATGTTTTGGCTTTTCATGGAAGAGATGAGTTATTTGACATTTGTGTTGTTTTCGTACAGCCGATGGAAAATGTCTGGTGTCGGTCGGTTTAGACGATTTTCACAGTATTGTGTTTTGGGACTGGAAAAAGGGAGAAAAGATAGCCACGACAAGGTAAGACACTGCCGAGATCTTACGGCATCCTGCTGCTATCCTGCTTCAGTAAAGATCAATAGTTTTCATCTTCTGGTAAGATTTCATCTTCAAACTCAGATGAAATTCACAGAGAAAGCTTAACACCCAAGCAAAAACGCATTGCAGTGTTTCATGGTGCCAACCTGACTTAAAGCAGTCAGTGTTTGTTGTGGGGAATCAGAAAATTCTGAAATCCTTTCCAGAGAGTTATTCACCACTCACTTTTACTAATACATGCATTATCTCTATCACAGCTTTTTATCAACAATAGAAAAGCAGCTTTTCTCAGACTTGTGCCTGGCCCCCTGGTTATTCCTCTGTCTTAGCATCTGGTGAAGGATTGTCAATGTCACCAGAGTCAGAAGCGCCATTTGTCATGAGGCTGTGGCGTGCTGGAAAGGAGGCCCCACCGTGTGCATCTGCCACTTGCTTTCAAAGCAGGCAAATTGTTTCCCTAATCTCCCCATCTTATAAATAGACTTTTCAAGACCGACTGCTGTTTATAGACCACCTGTCCTCCCTTACCCCAGCCTCCCTGCCCTGCTGAATCAGCTCGAAGTCTGAGCGTGACTTTCCACTCCTACTCACATTGAACTCAGCTGTTTGCCCGGCTCTGGTCAGGGGTCAAAAGAGTTGGCAGCTAAGGCCCAGGAATAGAGTTTGTTGCCCAGGCATGTTGACGGTGTACCTCCCTGCCAGTTCTTTGCTGCATCACTGAGTCCTATCTTGCAATGTAAAATCATTTCGAAGTTGATGGCCTTGAATCTCAATATTCACTTTTTAAATTAACATTTTCCTTTACAATATTAAGTAGGAAAAAAGTTTTTTGGCAATTTGCCTTAATGAAGATCTATAAATTGCTAGAGACCCAGAGAAGCAGCAGATGGAGGCCTGAGGACTCCAGCTGACCATCTTAGGAGAAAAAGAGAAGCTTTTCTGATAACTGCTGTTGAGATGGAATTCTTGGCAGCAAATAGCAGCTCATAATCTGCCTGCCCAAGTGGTTTTCCTTTTGGTCGGCCTTTCTAGTGTTCCTCACTGTTTTACTACTCTCTACTACTCAGATTCAGCTTCTAATCAGAACTCTGTTTTACTCCTAGACTAAAATACTGAACTTTAGTTTAATATTTCTGATAACATACCATCTGCATTTTACAGATAATCTTGGGGAAAGCACATACCTGCATTGCAAAAGCAACAGAAATGCAATTTTCCTGCTAGAAAACCCTCTGCAGCTGTGGGTGGCTCACCGATAATATGCCACAAACATTACTAGAAATGAAAGAAATATTTTTTAATATCAAAAAAGTATATATTTTATATGCTTGGTGGATAGTGCTACTGTTAGTTCATTAACACAAAGCTACTTAACGCCATTATGTCAATAACACGATTTTTAGTTGGAATCATTCCTGAGCCTTATGACACATTCCCAAAAATAAGGCACCTACAGAATTGTCCTCAGGACATTTTTGCGATTGTGACATTAACCAGTACTCTTTCCAAGGATGAATATCAAGGACTGTTAAATTTCTTTGAAGAATACTAGATTTTACAATAAGTAAATAAAAATATTTGTATAAATACCTATTTGCATAATATTAAGAATGATACTGGCTGGGCCTGGTGGCTCACGCCTGTAATCCTAGCACTTTGGGAGGCCGAGGCAGGCGGGTGGATTGCTTGACATCACAAGCTCAAGACCAGCCTGAGCAAGACCTCGTCTCTACTAAAATTAGAAAAAATTAGCCAGGCAACTAAAACTAGAAACAAAAAATTAGTTGGGCATGGTGGCACGTGCCTGTAGTCCCAGCTACTCAGGAGGCTGAGGCAAGAGGATCACTTAAGCCCAGGAGGAGTTAGTTCGAGGTTGCTGTGAGGTAGGCTGACACCACTGCACTGTAGCCTGGGGGACAGAGCGAGAGTCTGTCTCAAAAAAAAAAAAAAAAAAAAGATATTTACATAGATAAGTAAGCAACTAGACAAATAAAAAAATCTATTGGTGACCCTAAGTTAGAGTGCTTAAGTATAACTTTAAAAACAGGGGCACAAAAGACGTGACAAAGAAGCAATGCTTCACTGAATGGTACCTTCCTGGCTTCCGGGAGTCATCTTAGCTCCTGGGAGGGCCTGATTCACTCTCAGACAATGGCCGACAGTCACATACCTCACTTTGTACTTCTGTGTCTCAGTCATTGCTGGCCTTGCCTCCAGCAAGGCTTAATGACAAACCTGCTTTTGGCAGCTGTGTTGTTCTTGCAAGGTGGTGGTTCTGCAACGGCACCAGGGAGGCACACACAATGGCCGTGGCGGCATTGCTGGCTGTGCTGCTGGTGCCCGTGCTAACGTGTGCCAGCTGCACACACTGCCCTGCATTTGTGAAATGTTTAAATGGACCTGCTCTTCATCAGCTTAGAGAAATGAGAGAAATTCGGAATTGGTACATAAAAATCTTGTTACAAGAGCTCTATGAGACTTGATCCAATCTATTCGAACAATTTCCTTCTTTGCTAATTTTAATAAGTGATTTCAGTTGCCTCCATTACAAATGGGATTTTTAGTCTTTTTTTTTTCTTTTAAAGGTTATTCAAATTTTAGTCTAAGGTACAAGCAACCCATTTAAAAACCAAGGCCAGGCTGGGCCTGGTGGCTCATGCCTGTAATCCTAGCACTCTGGGAGGCTGAGGTGGGAGGATTGCTCAAGGTCAGGAGTTCAAGAACAGCCTGTGCAAGAGCAAGACCCTGTCTCTACTAAAAATAGAAAGAAATTGGCTGGACAACTAAAAATACATAGAAAAAATGAGCCGGGCATGGTGGCGCATGCCTGTAGTCCCAGCTACTCGAGAGGCTGAGACAGAAGGATTGCTTGAGCCCAGGAGTTTGAAGTCGCTGTGAGCTAGGCTGACGCCACGGCACTCTAGCCCAGGCAACAGAGCAAGACTCTGTCTCAAAAAAAAAAAAAAAAACAAAAAACAAACAAAAAAAAACCAAGGCCAATCTCTTCCAGGAGTAGTTAAATGGCCTAACATCAGTGTCAGTGGGGCGGAATAATGAGACAGTTAAGCAGGGCCTTTATGTTCCTTTGCGGACCTTCATTACTTCAGTGAGGGGATGTGGGAACCAATGTCTAATTATCATGGGCATGCCTCACTTCAGAGTTTGAATAGGAGGCATCTTAGGTGCAAAGCATAATTATCAAGGTGCCTAACAAGAAAATTTTCAATGTTAATCTGAAATAATTTTGCTATTAAAAAGTGTAGGAACAAAACATGGGCCCACATGTAGCAGGTATGTAGAACTTCAGCACAGGCGTTTCTGTATTAGCTTCATTGCTTGATCTATTTTGGGTCCCTGTCCTTCTGTACATTTAATGAATATGATAGAGCCCCCTGCATACCATATTGGCACCTTCTCTTTCTCATTTTCTTTTTTAAAAACGTGTCTCTTTTTAAAATAACATTCTTTCCTCTATTTTCAAAATAATATACAATCATTATAGAAAAATTAGCACAGAAAAGTACCAAGAAGAAAATGAAAATCATCTCTAATTGTACTACCCAGACATAGCCATGGTTAACATTTTAGCATATATATATTTTTAGTATATATTCTTCTAGTATTTTTCTTCATTTTTATTCATAGGTATGGGATATTGTACACTCGCTCTATATTGGCTTTTGTATTTTTCACTCACCAATACATCATCTGTCTTCTAATTTATGTTAGCTGGCTTATTCTATATTAGTGTTCTCTGTTTTAAGCCATTTAAAAATCTTTTTTTTGGAGATGGGGTATAAATCATTCAGTCTTCCTGTTATGGGTTACTGTCACAGAAAGAGAGAAAACAAAGTCTCATACAGGATTGGGCCTCTATGCAGATGAAAGGGTTCTGAACGGATGACGTGGAAAACAAGTCAGCCCTGTGCCGCTGCCTGGGCTTCCAGAAGAGGCTCTTCCCTTCCCTCTTCCTCTGTGCTTGCTGTCAGGTGTATGTGGCCCTACAGTGAATTACCTGTGACTGGGGCATGAGGAATTGTCCAATATTAGGACAGCAGTACAGTCTTCTACCTTCTTATTTTTTCAGTCTAGAACCTGAAACTCTTTGCATTTTATTTTTCTTACACACACACACACACACACACACACACACGTTGTAGGCTCCTCCCTACAAATTTAACAAATGTTTAAAGAAGGGTATCCAATCCATGTTCTTTATTTGGATATTGATATTAGCTGAACATTTTTGTGCCATCATTAGCCAGTTTAGAACTTTTACCACAACAGAAACAACATTCGTGTTTTTATGACACTAAGAAATTAGATGAAAACTAAGAAGTTCCCTCAAAAAAGATTTTTCTAAATGTTTGCACAGATGTAAGCAAGGAAAACAATTTCCTCTTATCTCTAGGAAATACAATTGGTTGTATCTGTTCTTTTTTTTTTTTTTTTTTTTGAGACAGAGTCTTACTCT